TCTTTAGCAACTCCGCGGTCTTCTCGCCGTTGCGAATGCTTAGTGAACCTCTTAGTGCGGCCTGAAGCTTGTGTTTTGCAGATTTCGGCACACACAGCACTAGAGTAAGCCACCGGCAGACTGGTTTGCCTAGCAGGCCTAGGAGACTGTCCGAGGCGCCTAGCCGGGCCAAGGCCGAGACGATATCAAATCCAGGCGCGCATACGAGTCGCCGGAGCAGTGATGGGTAAAATACCGCATCTAGGGGCTCTTGGCAAAGCTGATCCGGCACGATATTCGGGTTAGGGGCGCGTTGGGAATGGCGCGATTTGATTACTTCTCGTGCTTCTGGGGAACGGTGGGAAGCGCCGGAGCGGAGGCTGTTTCGATTTTCTCGGGGAGGGGAGGAGGGGGGAAGAAGAAGGAAACCAATATCAGACGCCCGCACATCGTTCCGGGGGACCATCGCACCGAATCGTACCGTCTGGTTGGACGGTAGCTTGGAGACCCGTTTCGCGGTGACGGAAGGGAATTCGTCACAAGTTGCTCCGTGTAGAGGAGACAACTCTGGACTTTGAGTCTTTCAATAGCCGTCAACTTGCTCACCGACGGTCCCAAAGTCAGCATCCCTGCTCTGTCCCGCCCGCTATCCCAGATCTTGCAGTGCCTGAACAGACGTCGGGAATTAAGAGCTGGGTCCTTTTAGATGACGACGAGCCGGCCTCGAGTCGGCTGCTTGCATTCTCAACCAACGCGTGGGACCGGGACCGGGACTTGGGGACTCGTGTACATATTCCTGCACTGCGGAGGATTGGGGACCTTGGGGGACGACGGGATGGATCACGTCTGACAGTCTGATGTCTGACAGCGTGACTGTCTATTGACTGTCTCTCGACTGGCAAGCTGGGAATACCTACCTGGTGGCAGACCCTAAACTTGTCAAAGACGCACTGATCGCCAAGCACCACAGGCTGAGGAGTCTTCCCCCCAGGATGGCTGTGCACTTTGCGAGTGGATGTCTGAGTTCAACGGCGCATCTGGCGCTGTTGGGCCTGTTTTCGTCAATCAGAGGGAAGCAGTGCGACGATCCTCTTCGGTATGCGATCCGGCTGAGTGTTCCACGTTTGCGTGGTGACAGTCAGACATCAAATCTGCCCTGGCGCCGCCATTCCAGCGCATTGCCAGTTTATGCTGAAGGGAAGAGCAGACATAGTCTCATTATCGCATCACGGATGCAGCTGAGAAGTGCTGACCTTTCCCAGTCAGCCCAGAGGCCCCAGCTAGCATGTAGTGTAATTACTGCGCAGAGAGTCCCGAGAAATGCAGAATAGACCTTTGGACTGGAATGTGGGAGAGACGCTGCCGACTGTTTGGGAATGGTTCCCGCAGGACAGGACGCTCTGCCATTCGTACGACGCACACTAAATGGGTGGGCAGGGGACTTGCATCCGGCCAAGTGCCCGAGGAGCAAAATCGACGGGGTCTCGCGGGGCTAATGCGGCCGTGGTCATTCAGTCCCGGCTCCCAAGAAACAAAATATGCTAGCAAGATTTTTCTGTCTGTCGCAGTACTTCGTACGGATAGGTAACCAGACGGGAACGTGAGCCAACTTTACGACTTATCCAAGACAAGACATTTCCAGCCATTGACTTTGGCAGACTTTGGCAGACTTTGACTAGACGAGGCAAAGTGGCCGAACCGTCCCAAGCCATCCGAGGTGGCCCATCGGTATTCTAAGCCAAAGTCAGCCAAGGGCGAGGATAAGCTCGGGCAAACCCATGCTCAACTTTCCCAAGTTCCCACTCTGAGGCAGGGAAGAGGGGTACAGGGGCCATGTGGAGGAGATAAGGACCTGCTTATTTGGGCCAGAGATAAACGTCTTGGCGGGGAGATAGATCCAGGCTCTGAGTGGACGAGGCAACAGCTGGAGAAGCGATGGAGGGGGGAGGGCGGCAGGGAAGATGGTGGTTGGGGGCTCTTGGTGAGAGAGGTCTGGGAGGGATGGGTGGGAAGATGCAGCGCGTTTCTAGAACGTAAGATGGAATGCTCACGCGGACGAATATTATCAATAAACGTTAGTGTCAGCGTCGCGATTAGACTTATTTGGCGACCCGCTGATGAAGCTGAATACCTAAGAGGTTCACATAACATGTACGTATTCGTTTATTCTCTTCTGGTCTGGGCATTTGTTCCTGTGGACTCGTGGAGGGGCACATCGTGAAGGGCAGAGAATGGGAATCATGAGACGGACTTCCTTCAACGGTTCTATCCACATCTTTTCTGCCGAGCAACGGGTACCGGTAGTTTGCGAGAGGTTGAGACCCCAAGAAGCAACAAGAGATTCAAGAGATGGACAAGCCATTGGCGGGCTCTTGGACACGGGCACGACGGGGCAGATGGCGCAGTGGCGCGCATTCTAAGCTTTTGGCAGACGCAGCCACCGCTTGGTGTTGAGCTGTCAGAGAGTCAGTTGTTAGTGATGCGACGAACGGTCGATTCTTCCATGCAGTAGTGGTATCTACATTCACATCATTGAGATTGGGCAGAGACGGCCACGCCGATATCTATCAGTGCCTCCAGTCGTGAAGACTGGTTTGTTCCCTTGCAGGGTTGACGACTTGAGGAATCCCGCTAGGCTCTCCCAGTAATGCTGCCAGTCTGCTAGCAGTATAGGTAAAATCACTCTGCCCATCAGCAGCAACAACCTACGGAGTACGGAGTACGGAAAACTTAGGATCGATTCAGCGAGCGAACAGCCTATCTGGGCACGAGCCATCGGCGATGATTGGCGTGAGGGTATGAATCGTGGCTTGAGGGTGCCCCCGCAGATTGCCCGAGTAGATGGCCATCGCGTGAGTCTTCTATCTCTTGGCTCTCTGTGACTTGACGAGAGCTGGTCGAGATGGTGGTGTTGGTCGTGCTGGTCCCTGTTCTGGCACGCCTGGGTCTGGTCGTTTTATTCCGTGTGCCTTATCCGGGTCCGGGACACCCACGCTGTGGGACGGAAACAGCTGAATTCTGCATATTCGCACGCGCCGCCTGTGTCTCTCTCTCTCGCACTCTGCCTTGCGCAGTGCTAAATTTTAGGGTAGAGAGAGGCGTACCGGGTGGTCGGGCGGAGAGCCTATAGTACCTATCACGCAGTCGGAAGACTTGTAACCTGATTATGATGAAAGGTCTGTTGATCTCCCGCTGTTGGCGATAAATCGGGAGAAAGAGGAACGATGAGGGTAAACTGAGTTTGCCCCAGAGATAAGCATCATCGCGTAGTCCGTACCGCCAATATTACGGTGAAAATTTTGACAGTCTGGGTCAAATCTCTCGAGTACAGTAAACCTCAAGCTACTGGAGGGAACCACCTGGAGGCTTTGCTCAGCCTGCGGGCGTTATTCTAGAATTGTTTCTTGCAACCAAAGAGGCAGAAACTGGAATTTGGCGCGTCGTACATCCACCTGCTGCGTACGGCCGTCGAAGGAATCCCGCGCATTCAGCCATTGTCTTGGTGTTTTCTTGGTACCACCGATCGTTGCCCATCTTGAGCCAGGGTCCGTCTCGCTTGGTCAGGCACCTCGGGGCTCATCCTCCTTTGCTTGTCACGTCTAAGCTTTCCCCAACTCTCCCTATTAGCGAGTAAGACTGGCGTGAACCGGCTTCGCGAAGGACTGGGCAGCTGGGCAGTTTCTAGGCACAGCTGACTTGAATTCACGACTCATGCTCGGCGGTTGACGATACTCCGCGTTAAGGATTGACTTTGGCTGCCAAGTGTATCCGTATCTCTTCTCTCCTGTTCTCTTCATCTCAACTTACTGCGTAGCCCCCGGTGAAGCTCTGGCTTTCCCATTACCTCCGCACATCCAAGTCACACTTCTCCAAACTTGCCCGCCGCCACCCATCCATCTTGCTGCACTGATGATGCTCGCCAAGGCTGAACGGCGTTGGACACGCAACTTTCAAGTGCCCAATCACAGCCAACAGATATTACAAACCACAACTGAGTAAACTGCCTGTGCTGCCCTCGTTTGTATGTACACTACATACTTTCTTTCCGCAAGACAAGTGAACCCTTGCCACGCACCCCCCTCCATCCAGAGAATCAGCCTATCCTTGTCCTACTGTCGTTTCCTGGCCCATTCATACCCCGGTAGACAGGCTTTTTCTCCACCACAATCCCCCTCCCCTCACTCATCCTCCAGTCCTGCCCTCCTTCAACCAGTGCGGTGCTGCTAGGCCCTGCCTGAGAGACTGGACTGGGTTCAGCAGAGAGAATGGAGAAGCTACCTGTAAGACACGGCCTTTACTCTCCATTCTCTCTCTCTCTCTCTCTCTCCACAATCACTTGGCCTGGCCTGCGAAGAACCGCGAACGTGGTGCGGGTACCTTAGTCCCCGTAGTCTCCATTGTGGGCACGCATGTACACGCAACGCAAAAGAGATACCGAAAGATAGTGCGACCAACATCCAAAGGTAATACCAACAGTCAAAACAATGTAGAACTCCATAACCACCATCCGTCTCCAACTACCACTCGGCGACGCCTACAGGGATCCTTTACGGGTGTATCTTAGCGCACGACGCCAGTGCCCCAGTCTTGCAGGATCCATCAAGACCCCCAAGCAAGCTAGGCCAGGTCCAGCCCACGAACCTGCGAGCGACATGGGATGTATGTGTGAGCGACAGCTCTGATCTGCTTGTCTTGCCTCGCCCGCTGGTATGGCGCCGCCGGGTGTCAGTCGAAACGGGATGCGAGCTGCTTCCTACGGACGGATACCCTTCCCTCACATGCGGCAGCCTCTCTATCGCGCCTCCGTCCCTGGTCCCGCGAGCCGGCGCTGAAATCTTAATTAAAGAACCTCGAACCCCCCTCCCTACATCGTCGTGCTCCTCTCCCTCTTCCTTCTTTCCCATCCCTCTCGCTCCTAGAGCTCTCACTTGTCAATTCCCCTCCTTCTGTCTTCGCCCAAATCCAGAAGTAGAGCCTCCTCCCATCTTGTGTACGATCCACTCAGGCGTCACACAACAACAATGAGCGACGGCCTTGTCAAGAGGGCGTCTTCTTCGGAGGGCGCCCACGGCGGCCACGACATCGAGAAGACGGGCTACCAAACACAGACCTACGACGACAACCTCAAGGAGAATGTCCACATCCGCGGTCTCGAGACCAGCGAGGACACGAAGCTGCACCGTGGTCTCAAGGCCCGCCACATCACCATGATTGCCATCGGTGGTGCCATCGGTACCGGTCTCATTGTCGGAACCGGCAAGGCTCTCGCCCAGGCCGGCCCCGGCTCCGTCTTCATCTCGTACACTCTCGTCGGTTTCATCGTCTTCCTCGTCATGGCTGGTCTTGGTGAGATGGCTGCTTGGCTGCCCATCTCTTCTGGCTTCACTGGTTACGCCTCGAGATTCTGCGACCCCTCGCTCGGTTTTGCCCTCGGCTGGACGTAAGTCGCAATAACCCCTCCCTCTCACCTCACTTTTCTCTCTCCGCACCATGTGCTGACTATGAATTTGCCTTCCAGTTATTGGTTCAAGTACATCATCGTCACGCCCAACCAGCTTACAGCGGCTGCTTTGGTTATCCAGTTCTGGGTAGATCGCGAAAAAGTCAACCCCGGTGTCTTCATCGCCATCTTCCTCGTCGCCATTGTCTGCATCAACTACTTCGGTATCAGATTCTTCGGTGAATTCGAGTTCTGGCTCTCCAGTTTCAAGGTCGTCACCATTGTCGGAATCATCATCTTCTCTCTCGTCCTGGCTCTGGGCGGTGGCCCCGACCACGACCGCAAGGGATTCCGCTACTGGAAGAACCCTGGGTATGTCTCACTTACACCCTCCAGACCAACTCATCTCCAAGACTAACAACCTCAAAGTGCCTTCAAGGAGTACATCGACACTGGTGATGCCGGCCGCTTCTACGGTTTCTGGTCCTGCATGGTCAACGCCACCTTCGCCTACCTCGGTACTGAGCTTGTCGGTGTCACCGTCGCTGAGGCTCAGAACCCTCGCAAGACGATCCCCCGCGCGATCAAGCTCACCTTCTACCGTATCCTCTTCTTCTACTGCTTCAGTGTCCTCCTCATCGGCATGCTCGTCCCCTACAACTCCCCGGATCTCGCCTTCGCCAACAAGTCCCAGACCGGTGCCTCCGCCTCCCCCTTCGTCGTGGCTGCCACGCTCGCTGGTGTCAAGGTCATCCCCCACATCATCAACGCTTGTATCTGCATCTTCGTCTTCTCTGCGTCCAACTCAGACCTCTACATCGCCTCCCGTACCCTCTACGGTCTTGCCTCTGACGGCTCTGCCCCTGCCATCTTCAAGCGCACTGACAAGCGTGGTGTCCCCATCTACGCCCTCGGGTTCTCCGCCATGTTCGCCCTTCTGGCTTTCATGAACGTCTCCAACGACTCCAAGGCTGTCTTTGGTTACTTCGTCAACCTCACCACCATCTTCGGTCTCTTGACCTGGATCTCCATCCTCGTTACCCACATCTGGTGGTGCAAGGCCCGCAAGGCCCAGAACATTCCCGACGAGATCCTTCCCTACGTCGCCCCCGTCGGCATCTGGGGCTCGTACGGCGCTCTGTTCCTCTGCATCATCATCGCCCTCACCAAGAACTACGACGTCTTCACTGGCGGCGACTTTGGCAAGGAGAAGTACAAGACCTTCATCACCGGCTACCTCGGCATTCCCCTCTACCTCATCCTGATCTTCGGCCACAAGCTCTACTACAAGACCCGTGGCGTCAAGCCCCACGAGGCCGACTTCTACACCGGAAAGGACATCATCGACCGCGAGGAGGAGGAGTTCCTCGCGCGCAAGGCTGCCCAGAAGGAGGCCAACGGTGGCAAGGGCGGCAAGGGCGGTTGGTTCTACAAGACCTTCCTTTCCTGGCTCTTCTAAACGCGTTGAGCGTGGTGAGAGGAAATGGAAGTCTGTGTGCATTTTTCATGAGTATCATGTCCTGCGAATATACCATGGCGTTTTGGCCCGCCCACTAGCTACATAGATATCACAATCTAGACCAAAAAGATATTGTCTATTCTGCGCAAGATTATACTTGACCTCTTTTCATGTTTTCTTTCATCAAGTGATGTTGCTGTAGTGATGTTCTCTCGGAAAGCAACGGCTTAAGAATAAACGGTCCCATCGCGTTTGGTGGGGTGTAAATCCACCCACGATGACTCACATTACATTTGTCCAAGGCTCGATGAGTTCCAACCTCGCCTGCTCGGAACATCTGGGTTCAAACAGATTACCCCAAGCACAATAGCTCAGGGGTAGAGCGCTGGGCTCATAACCCAGAGGTCCCTGGATCGAAACCAGGTTGTGCTATGATTTTTGATATTTCTCTCCCTTGAACGATACTTCTTGTTGCCAGACCTGACTAAATGTCTGCGAGGCTCATGAGACGTGATGATAGCATCAGCGCACAAGGCTCGTTGAGAAGGTTGCTTCGTTTTTCAATACGAGTTGAGAGAGGAACTGGCCTCTTGCTTCGCAAGGTACTGGCAAACTTGCCGGCGTGCCGGAACATAAGACGCGCATTCTGGTGTAGACGGACGGCCGCACGAGTCTTGAGAGCCGCGCTCTAATGTTGTCGCACGCTGTGCCGTTAAATGTTCTCTAGCATGAGTTTCAGGTGACTTGTAAATACCTTAAATAGTCACTACAGCTGGATCTCACGGGTCGTCTCCAGTGCTTCGCTTGCCGAGCTGTACGAGAACTGTCTCTCCAGTGATATGAGTGAGAAACTCATGATGAGTTTCACCATAGATGCGCTGCTCAAAGCCATCAAAGTTCTGACTTCAACCGAGCGAAGATCAAACTGGGCCATTGGCGACGGCTTGAAGTCTCATGTCCGCAGACATAGAAAGGATTATCTGAAGTGCGATTTCCGAGATGATTGACATGATAATTCGATCACAACAGATATTTCCATGCTAGCAGTTGTCAACCATGATACGTATTCATGATATCTTTGATGTAGGTTTCAGGCATCATGTTAGAGGGAATCGTCCCGAAGATGCCTCTGAGGTTACTGACCAGCGACGAGTGAATCGCACACGGGTGACAAACACGTCGCAGTCGTCCGCCTAGGTATGCTTCAACGAGGTTGACGAGCTAGGATGCGGCTTTGTCTCTGGCGGTCGAGGAGGACAGCACGTTAGGGGAAGCAAGAATACATCTGCCAAGTACCTTACTTAGATGAAGTCATTATAGTATGCTAGGATAATTCTGGATAGTACGCATGCGGCAATGCTGATACATTGGCCTCAAGCGCTCGTGTGCGATCATTGCCATGAGTGCCTGTCACACACGCTGTATTCGTGTTGGAACATACCTACTTAGTCTAAAAAGCCAACCAACAACACAACAAACCACCTTATTCGTAGAGCCCAGTATCAATGTCTTAGGTTCAGAGCCTGATATAGGATTTTCGTTCAAATCAGATGTGGATAATATGGGTTTTGGTTCTATTCATCATCTTCATCGTCGTAACTCATGCCATTATAGCTTCATGTCCAAAATGCACGTAAATTCCCACGGAAATGACTGGTCCTGTTCTTCCTCGTGTATTCCATGCAAAATCATCACCAGCGCACCTCCATTCCATCAAAATACTCATCGCAATTTCGTCGCTTTCCGCGGCTTGAATGCCGGCTCAACCGGTGGTTCCTGCTTGGCAACAATATTATCCACGCGATCCCATATACTCTTCGGACTCCAATCGCTATCGAACATCTGGGAAATCCAGTAAAAGGGATTTCCAGGGGACGTGTGATTGTTACAACGGCCTGCCAAAGAGTTAGTCGAGCTGATACGTAAGTAGAGACCCCATTTTCACTTACCATCATCCGTGACCTTCTTCATGTCCTTCCATATCTGCCTGCAAAACCCCTCATGTCTGTCTTCCAAGCCAGTCCAAAACCATCGGGCAACATGGTCTCCGAGGAAATCGTCGGCAGCGCAGTATGATTCGGGGGCGCGTCGATAGTACTGCCAATGAAGCAGAAGGATGTTTGCGCTCTTCTTCGCAACTTCGAGATATTGCCGGTAGGACTTTTGTTTATCTTCTTTCTGCAGTCTTCATCAGCAAAGAGCCTTCACGCTGTAGGGACAATGGCGCAATACCTCTTTTGCAGCGCAGAGGAAGGGGCTTTGCCGGTAGTGTTCCGTCGTTGCAGCAAGCTCGTGGAGCATGATGAATGTCACAAGATAGACTGTGAAGAAAGACGTTCGAATCTTCTTGCAGCAGAGTTTCTCAAGGTCTTCGAGAATATGCTCGTGGTGCTTGATCAGTCGTACATGAGCCATAGAACGAATTTGCGAGGTAGCCATTGGCGGGGCGGGAATTCTATCGATCAAAGGGTGAAATTCGTCTCTGGCTGGTGTCATGCCTAGGCAATTTTGACTCTTCGGATCTTTGTTATAGATCCATGATGGGCGTGTCATGATTCCTGGCGAAGAACTCTTGTTAGAACATGAAATGCCGCATTTTGACAACAACTCAATTGATGCAGAAACCCGGATTAAGAAGAGTAAAGGCACTTACGCTGGGCGAAACAGAACTTGAACAAGTTCAGCAATAGACGCCGGTCGATGGGATGTTGATCACAATCGTTGTAGTACTCCAATGCCGCTTTGTAGTGTTTCGAAATCAGCTGGTCGGTATCTCCTCGATAGGCTTGCTCCTCCCAGCCCTTCACCGCGTTGGCCTCGATGTAAGCTTCCAGCTGCTCCCTCGACGCGCTCACGCTGGCAAGAGCGTACGGTTCGAGTTTCGTCTCTTCGACCTCGCCCTTCGCTTCGTTCATCCAGAAATAGTTGATTTGGTCCGCCGGCATGCAGTCTTTGTCGAACTTGCGAACTCGGATATTCATCGGTACAGAACACAGCCCCCGCGTTACGAGTTGGATGTCATGCTCAACTTCTTCGACCCAGTTCTCGATATCGATTATCTTAGCGGGAAGACCCAGCTTCGTTTCGATTCCAGCGTAGTTGGCATTGTAAAGGACGACGTCGGCAAGTTTTGTTCGTATGCACGGCTGGCGGTGAATGACTTTTGAAGAACTCAAGTCGACTTTCGCACAAGTCAGGCAGGGTCCATCGCGATTTTCCGTGTCAACTTCGCACTAACACCGCATGGTCAATATCGAGAGTCCCACCTCCTGAATTCTAATAGTCGATGCCAAGTTGGGAAGACGACTCAGCTAACTCACCTTGAGACGCTGCATACGACATCGTATACACGCGCCAATCTTGCGGGTGTCAGCCACGGCACGCCGATCCTCGTCTGTCAATACGCGTTTCCGTCGACCGGCTGACTTTGGCTCTGGTGCTTGACTGGAGATTTTTGACTCGGTGTCCTTTGGCCGGGGGACAATATCCAACACTCGACCGCCATCATCGATAACTTTTGCCGTCGCGTTCTGCGCTGTCTTCTTGTAAAGAGAAGGTTTCGAGGAAACGTCTGCGAATGACTTGACTTGACGTGCGTTTCCTGATTGTTTTGGTTGCTCAAGCCGACTGGCCTTGTCTGTCGGAGAGCTCAAGCACTGCTTCCTGGCTTGCTTCTGGGACCGCGAATTTTGGTCGTTAATTCGGATATCATCTTGCGGACTAGGTAGGGGAGAATTCTCAGGTTGCCGATGAGGCACGGCGCCACGCGAAGTCGGTTCGATCGAAGCTGGATGAGGGGCCTCCGCTGAGGAGGGAAAACCGCGCTGGAGCAAGAGATTCTCTTGAGGCGAAACAACATCCTCTGGGCTAGCAGAGCCGTACGATAAAGTCGTTGATCTTGGCGGAGATGGCATTTGCGATTGCATCGTAGTTGGAACGCGCTCCTCGGGAGCCTCCCAATGATTCATCCGCCCATAGTTGTTGAAATGTTGACCGGGAAGAGAAAGCACTCGGTTGATGGGTTGATTCTCTTGCGGCCGAGTATCATCGTTCTGTTGAGCGAAGCAGTTATAGATCGGAACGACCGGCCATGGGACTCTAGTCGGAAGAGTGCTTGCTTGCTGAACTATCCCACCCGAGGAGCCATGATCGAGGGAGGATGGAGCTGCAGTCCAGGTAATAGGTTGTGGCGCGTCGACATTGTAAAGCCCGCTGACGACTTGGTAGAAACCTTGCGGACTGTTTTGATTTTCAAGAGGGCCATACGTCCAGTGGCCCTGAATTGCCGAGTCTCTGTGTTGGCCTTCATAGGGTGCCGAGTAAACAGAGTATCCAACATCGTCCAAAGTCTTGGTGTTCTGAATACTGATTAGTCATTTCTCTTCTCCCTACTCGGTTGACTCAGACCGTCTTTTCACGGTTCGAGGGAAAGGTAGCATGGGCAGAATTACTGCGAGAGTTATTGAGCCGGGTAATGAATGGCTTACAAAGACTGATGGGTCACAGTGCTCGGACCATTGAGTTCCTGAATCCTCCATCTTCTGCTATCAAGTCGAGTGTGACCGCAGTTATCGCAAAGAGCAAGTGATTCTCTTGGGTGTGGCATGAACCGGCGATGCACAGGCAAACCGAGTTCTCAATCGAATGACCGGGAGAATTCGACGACAAGGGTAAGGCGCACTTGGCTTGTGTTCCCACCCGTCAAGCAACTGTCAGATCTCGTGATTTGATGCTGCTCGGGATAATGTTGAAAAAGGATTGGCTTGGGAAAATATACTGGTCGGACAAGTGGGCGTCTCCAAAGGTAAGATACCGATGAGAACTATCGCCCTTAAGCGCCCGAAGTCTATATTTCTTTGAACAATACGTGTATGGCGAGATAACGCGGCTTCCCATTCCGCTTTAATGACATTGTGCTATCTTGGCGACTCCCCGCTTCAAGGATCTACACCATCGTCTTTTAAGACCAACCATGATATTTCACCACTTCTCTGTCTTTCCCAGCATCTGGGGATATATTTCTTCTTCCAGTCTGCGGATTGTGGGCATGCAACGACATCCCTGTTTGTAGTCATATATCATCCAGCGGTTGACCCAACATGTTCACCTGTCTAGGCTGTGTCTGACGGGGACGGCGCGAAAGCATTGCCGGCGGCGCTCCCTACTGCCGTATCTTTGGACTTTAGGCCCACCACAGGCGTAGCCTTCGAATTAAGTGACGTGCCAAAGGACGTGGACAAATCCAAAGCTGACCCGGATTTACCGGAAATCTGTACCCTATCAAGGCCATCTTTGAGCTCGTGCGTACGTTAATCTTGCGACTGGGGTTAGTGCGTGGGCGTTGAGCCTGTGGAGGATTCGAGATCCTGCGGCAAATGGGCTGCATGAAGGCGATAATAGGGTGCAGACACATCATCCGGCCGTTGATTCCACATCAGGGAGCAAACACTCTGAACCCCGGAGTTGAACCAATTCGGTGCTCTACGGGGAAACACAGACGTTTACAATCCCTGGAATAGCTGAGACATCTTTTACTGCAGACTTTTACCACGTTCTTGGTCATGTGAGTCTGCAACTTACTACAAAAAGTGACCTGGCTGACTTGGATCTCAATCCTCGCCGAGGGTGGATGAAGTCCAAGGAGCATGGGGCCGCCGCCCGCCCGTCCTCGATCGCCGTCAAGGGATACTTTGCGTTTATGGAGAAATTTTTTCTTACGCACTGTGTGACTTGTTCTCCATCTGGTCTAGGCCGTCTGGAGAAGGTCTGTCTTGGTCTGTTGCCTTTCCCCGGTCCGATGGACCTGTCGGCTCGTGGACGAAGGCTGAAGGATCTGGAAGCAATGTGGAGGCGCAAATGTAATGCCAAGTCGCTATAACGAAATAGGAAAATGCTTTTGAGCGCTAGCAGGTTCTAGATTTGAGACCATGGACTGCGGGAACAGGTGGATATTGTAAGGGTGTGTCTGTCGGGCTGAGACTGCGAGGGCTAATCCGTTAATATGGGTAGAGACAGAGCCCTCCTCAGATCCAAGATAACTAATGAGACTTGGCTAGATTTCCTTAGTGAGATCTGTATCAAAACCCTCTTCGTCCCAATAACCATCACCCGGTGGACATAAATCACACAATGCCTCAAAGGTAGCGTTCGATGATACCGATTTCACAGGGGGCATATCCAGGAACGTGGCCTCGGAGAAATATTCGGCGATCATGATTGATAGAATCCTAAAAGATCAAAATCCGTAAGGCACTGTCTTGATTCCATCGTCATTACCCCGTCATAGTATCCCATCTACTTACTGTATGGCCTTGGCGCCAATTTTGGTCTCATGTCACGAATGCAAATAAATGGGGGTCAAAGGGGGAGGGGGCGGGGGTAGCTCCCCATTCCAAAGCTTCAACCTACGTCCGTTGAGGGTTGGCGACTTTCTTCACGAAGTTAATCATTCGTCTACCAGTAGATGCTCGAACGGGAATGGTCTTTATCTCCATCGAGAGTCTTTCGCTCCACAAAAGTCGCTGACGGCCTGACGGCCTGCACGGTTCAGGGAAGACGACTCAAGCGGGCCGAGCCTGGGATCATTCGAACTTTTAGAGGGGCCTCTTGGGCCGCATTAGAAGCTGAGTTGAACCCCTTTGAGTTTGAGAACGTTAAGAGACCGGGGGCTGGACTAACACCTATAGTAGTGTTATATAGGAGGCACGAGGACTTGTGTGAGGTTCTTGAACAAGCACACCGAGGCGTGATCCGTTCTCTTCTCAACATATCTACGGCCGAGGCAGTATGAGCGATGATGTTCTCAAAATGAGGCATGCTACTCCGTACTGTGGCCACCAATGATTGCTGGGTCTGAAGTGGCTATATGGAGTATATGGAGTATATGGAGCATGGAGGAACGCCCGCCCCCCCGTATTTCGTTTTGAGGGTTTGCGGCGGACCCCCCGATTCCTGGGCTGTGTCTGCTTCAGTCGAGGCACTGAAGCTGGTGCTCTCGTCAAAGCAGCATATACCCCCAGTCTACTAAGCTCGTTGGCTTCATCTGGATCTTAACGCGAAAAGAAAAATTGCTAGAAAATTCCCAAGAATCGGACTGCAGACTCCTCACGAGCGTTCTTGACCTACCTGACTTTGCCTCGCTCAAGATCTGATCTGCGACGAGTCATCCAGCCACAACATGCAAACTTATATGTGTTCAGCATAGATGCCACAAGGTATGAGGTGAATAGCTTACTTCAAACGAAACGTTCTTCCCTTGAATTTGATCTGATGGCGCTCTTCGGCCCCTACCCGACACCCTGTCACGCCTTTGTCTTGAGGCTTCAAGACGCTGAATCTTAGACAGCGACTACAGATACATAGCACGAGAAAGAGACAACAATGCATGTGTGAGACCACATAATAGCCTATAATACTCCAGCTCGCAACTTCGCCTGTTACTCATTACTATGGTCTATTGAGACTCCAAAGTCTCAACCCACGAGCCTATTCTCACCCATACAGCATCACCCCAAGGGGCGCTAATACTTGCTGTGTAAGCCCTACGGGTGCGGAAGCCCGGACACCGTAAGTACATGTGTGCAATACTGTTTAGGACCCTTCACCCACTAGAGCTCATAGTATGACAGGTTTCGCCGAAGGTTCCGAACGATACGAACTGAGGATCAAGGGGCGCCGGGGTCGCACAGCAGTAGACTGTCTCAAGAGCCGGCAGCTGAAGAAAGACTTCTACTAGCTTTGTGGCTTGCGGTGAAACATAAAGCGGTCAGAATGATCTTGATCATCACATGTATTTGGTGCCTATCCGTAGACACCAGGAGGCCGGGACGGTAGGCCGGCAGCCTGGATACTGATGGACTGAATTTTATCGCAAGAGCGCATGGACTCGGGGAAGTGGAATTCATGAGTACCCGAGTACTGACATACTTGAACATCCTAACTGGCTCACCGCATTGATTTTGGAACATCCTGTGACTGATTAGCCTACAAGCTATGTGTGATGGAGGCCTGGAAGCGACCCTGAGATTTGGCGAAACTCATGTCTTCTGCCCGAATTGACCATCAGTCAGAGCTTTTTCAGAAGGCCAGAGCAAGTTCTATGTTTTACATTGTGGTGTCTGCCCAGGAGGAAACCAAGTGACGGACGGGGCTAAGCTTCTGCGAGGTAATCTTAATGCTGTTCGCCCCGTCGAGGATCGACCTGGCACAGCATCTGACCCATACCCCTGATGACCCTGAAAACCAAAAGAAGGAAGAAACCAGAGGCAGTGGAAGTCCACGATGTGGAAGCTGAAGTTGATGCAGATGAGCTTTGTTCCACGTTTGGTGAGAAGCCGGCATGCAAAGAGGGGGAAGTTACACAATGTGAGAGTACAAGTAAGGAAGCCGGATTGCTCCGAACAAGACAATACGCGCCCGGCGCAAGGTCTGCTTGTTCAAGAGGCTTATTTTCTCATGGGAACGAAGCTAATGCACGTGAATCCTAGAGGGGTTCGGGCCAATTGTGTCATAAATCAGAACTCAACTTCCTTCCGCAGTGCCGTCGCAGATGCTATCATGCTGACGGTAATTTGTTCCCTAGTGCACTGAATACACCCAGTCACCGCTGTCTGAAGTTCTAAACGAGCCCCTCTCCCAGCTACCTCTTCACAATTTCCCTTCCTAGGACTAAGTAGTATGCATGACGCGCTACACTGATCTGGAGAGGAATGGATGCGAGGGCGATCTTGGCATCGACTCATCGTAAGGTACGGGGTCAAGTCTCAATCCATTGATATCACGGAGACTTACTAAGGCCTTTGCATGCAGATGCTGGCTGAGACGCTGTTTGGAATGATGAGGCCTTATCAAGTAAGGGAGCCAACAACTGACTGGAAAATAAGGAGAAACATCCAGTTCTTGTCGGCTTGGGTGGTGGAGATATGCTTTTGTGATAACGCCCTGTCGTCACCGCGCCACTGGCATTTAGCTGAAGGGGCTGAGACAGACAGCACAGCACTCATTGCAGACTCAGTGCTGTCTACCCATGAGCGTGGAAGAATAGACCAATCCTTGAGGCTATTGAGGGGGAGCTTTGTAGTTTGTTGGCTTGTTTAGCGGTAGGGTGTACAGATCCAAGAACATTAACGCGTCTCAAAGATTTTATGGCGGCCCAAGGATTTGGAGTGCGCCATAGACCTATACCAGCGGTGCCAGCCTTGTTTTCCTCTTTCCCCCTCTCGGACCTTTGGTTTCTTTTTCTGCCTAAGACTGGATGTCGAATAGACACTGTAGGAGAAAACACTGTGTAGCATCTCACGTCCGGATAAGGGATGGGTCTGTTTCCTCCTTTCCCAGCCTGCCAACATCAGTGTCACACATGTCCACTGTCAAGGTGATGGGATGGCACTAAGACGAGAGGCGAAGTGAGGGCCGGGGCGAGGCACGAAGGCCCGGGGCGGCCCTGGTGGCACATTGAATTGCTTATTTCACCACCAGCCGCGAATCCTCCACGTTGAGTCTAGAGCCTACCGCCAAAAAAGCATACGCCAAACACGGCTGGGCCGGATGGCTTGCTTCTTGCTGCATTCATCACCCTTATTCGAAAGCCTTCTTATCCGGACTTGGATCCTTACATGTACTTGCAGCCCTATCAGATATGTGCCTTTGGCGGTGCCCTTGATGCAGGATGGGAACAGCTATGCTAGGATCATTGATCTCTCTTCTTCTGCTGCGATGTTTCCCCCAGCCTGAATCAGAGGTGCCAAGCCTGCATCATGCAAGTTGATATCCGCACTCTCTGTGCCTTTGCATTATCGTAACCGGTGCCAACGTCTATCTTACGAGGAGACGCAAAACCAGGCCCTCTCTGTCCTGGAAAGTATCCAGAGAACTTATTTCCAGGTATCTTATTGTCATCGACGACAAGTTGACTGCAGCAACGTTGCTCTCGTAAACTGGGACTGCGAGGCCCATTCTGTGCTTTCAACTCCCGAAGCCAGGCCCCGTAACTGTGGCCATCTCGGCCGAAATCAATGACCTCGAAATTATGCTTGATTGAACAGACCAAATCTCAACGGAGGTCAGTCCAGCTCCCCGACTCTCAATGCCAACCTAGTTTGGAATTATTACGCGAACGAGACAATAAACGACATGAGCGCTGAGCAACGGCCGTAACTGTACTGCCGTGCAGCCTGAGGCAGCAGCTCAACATGTCTACACATTTCAGTCTGATCGGGAGTTTTGCGCGCATATACTGCCGGAGATCCGTCTAGAGCCAATAGACACACGTATGGCGCATCACACTCGTCGGTATCCTTCTTGGCAAAGACGGTGTTTCTGGATTGCATGCTCCCAAGTTGTCACGGACCGTGACGCGGGGCATGGGTGGGCAGAAAAAGCAAGAGCTTCCTGACGTTCCTCTGACCTTAATCCTTCTTGTACCACGGCATGAATAGAAATGAAATCGTGGATAGCGATCAATCCGTCCGGAACGTTCCCCGGAAGCGCGCCTCTTTCATGCCTGAGTATCAAGGGAAAGCCTTACTCGCAGCTCCTTCTGCGATGTATGGAGGTACCGTGCAGCTTTCTACCCAAGATGCCGAGAGCTGCAAGTGTTCGGATGCGTGTCACTCTGGGTCGATGGACTTGACTGCACTATCTATGGCCTTCACGCGTGGAATACGTACGCTCGCTCCACACAAAAGTCTAGGGTTGAAAATCAACCACCTGGCATCGCGAAGAGATGACGAGATCGTCCATTTGAAGTAAAGAGATAAAGATGCAGTGAACAGGTAGATATCCAGCTGGCAATACCCAGGGGTCTGCCGACGACTGGTCCGTCATACCGTCCCATGTTGCGGCAGCGTCCCCGCGGCCCCGCCCCCATGTCATTGTTTCTTTTGCAGCTTGCATGGAGTTCCCCCCCACACCGGTGAGATGGCACATTCAATGGTGTCGCGACACCCATTCAAGGCCAGCAGACCGACTGGTTGACAGGGCAGATAGAATGCAGCACGCCTCGATCTGCCTGCAGCATGGTGGTTCTAGAGGCCTTCTTCGCCTTGATGTATCCCTTGACTCTCTCGCCCATCCTAAATGCACGACTTCTAAACCAATCTAGCGTCTGGATCAGACGTCACTGGGAGGATCTCGTTGGCTGAAGCATAGTGACGATATAGTACTGATTGGGTCTGGAATTTCTGAGTAAAGTACTCACTCTGCCGTCAGAAGTACGAACATCTTGTCAACTAGACCGCCTTGATTTCTTGATTCGCCCGAATATTCATGAACCAGGTGCGTCACCAAGGTATTGAATAGTCTCGAGCAATCAGGCGTCGAGAGACAGAGACCTCAAAGCTGGCGGTGAAAAGTTCACGCTCGCAAAGCTGACTTGCGGTTTCTCATACGTTCCTAGGCATTCCAGTCACCTGGGTACACCCTACATGCAGCTGTTTCTACCGAATCTCACATCAAGGGTGGAGAAGTGTCTTGCTGCCCATTGTTGACCGCGACAACTGAGGCAGGAAGAATGAGAGACTGTCAACCTTGCACCCTGACAGTCCTTGTACATTGAAACGCCAACGATCTAACGAGAACGGATAAGGTACCCCCTGGTCCACACTTGTTGTGTAAGTAGCTTACAGATAGATCATGTCGGTCAAAAGTGAGATCTGAGAGCTGAGACTGCGTTGGGGCACACGGAGCCGTACTTCTACGACTCCTTGGCCGGAGGTTAGCGGAGAAGGGCACGATACACGCGTGCTTGCAGACGAATGCGAAAGAGAGCATTCAACTCGATCCTCAGACCAGTAGTGGCAACACTTTGCGATACCAAGAAACCAAGAGCCAATGAAACAAAAATTCCAAGCATCCAAAAGCAACGAGAGACTATCTTTGTGGCAAATGTTGAATATGCCCCGACGCACATCCTCAAGCGCCCGCCCATGAGCATCACCCGCCCTCTCCGGAGCGCATCGCCCACCTTGGTCTGGCATGTAACGATAAACGGCTAGATTGCGGTCCATCGCAAAAGTGCCGCGGTGGCAATGACTGGAAGGACACTGACTAGTTCACCCAAGCCCGCAAATTCGGGCGGAATCCTGGCGTTGACAAACGCGCCAGCGCCGAGGAGAATGGCAAACAAGTTGTATACGAAGCTCCAGCCAAAGTTGAAGGCGATCCTGTGGGTAGCTTTCTTGCTAATGGCAATGATGGTGAGAATCCCCGTAAGGCTCGGACGCACGAGAACTACGTCCGCGGCGGACTTTGCGACGTCGGTTCCCTCGCTCATGTGCACGCCAATGGTGGCCTGGGCCAGCGCAACTGCGTCGTTAGTTCCATCGCCACAGAAGATAACGACTGGCTCTTTCGGATTCTTCGCTATGACTCGGTGGGGGTCCGACAAAGGTTGAGACAGTAGGTTTTGGATGTACTCTTGCTTGTCTCTAGGGGTGCATCGGGAACGAACATTGAGATGTGGGACGCTCAATCGTGAAGCCACTGTTCGAACGGCACCATCATCATCCCCGGAGAGGACATGAACAGAGATGCCGGAAGCCTGTAGATTGGAAATTGTTTCAAGAGCATCTGTGCGGATAGAGTCTTCGAGGCCAAAGACGGCAACCAAGGAGTTGTCCACAGTGAGGCAGAAGGCTGTATAGCTCTTGGATAAAACTGGTTGAACTCTGGGGTCGGTAGAGAGACCAAGCCAACGCGAGTTGCCAGCTCGAAGAGTGGCTCCGTCGAGTTTCGCCTCCACACCTTTGCCCGTTAGGGCCTTCAGATCCGTAACAGCTGTAGATGTATCAACATGTGCTTTTAGATGAGTGAAAATGGCAACGGAGACTGGATGTCTAGTAGTGCCAACGAGGCCTAAAAGCACCGATCTGATGGTCTCTTGATCTTGTGTAAAGTATGCCTCGTCCACAACTCTTAGATTTCCAGTTGTGAGAGTTCCGGTTTTGTCAAAGACAACGTGCGATGTCTTGTAGGCAAGCTCAATGCTGTCCGCAGATTTGAAGACGACGCCCTTTTCGGCAGCTACACCACTCGCAATCAAAATGACCATGGGTACTGCGAGTCCTATAGCGCATGGGCAAGAGACAATGAGGACGGTGATAGCGTACGTGACTGCCTGGATAAGTGCTTCCGAGCCACTCTGCTTGCGAACCGCAATGCCAACAGCGATCCAAATCGAGAAAGTGATGATGGTGATGGTCACAACTACCGGTACGAAGTATGAAGCGACTCTGTCAGCAATGTCCTGGATCTTTGGCTTAGAAAGCTTAGCCTCGTCGACCATTCCCGCGATATTGCTGATGGTGTTATTGCCGGGAAGCCTAGTCAGGCGAACAGTAAGAGCGCCAGAGCCGTTCATAGTGCCAGCAATGACTGAAGATCCGGTGCACTTTTCGATGCGCTCTGATTCTCCGGTCATCATTGACTCATCAACTTCCGAGGAACCTGAGATAACTGTCCCATCCGTAGGAATTCTAGAATCTGGGACGACCTTGAAGCTGTCTCCATACTGAAGGAGACGGGCGTCTATCTCCTCGTCTTCGCCAACTGAGTTAATGATCAGAGCCGTCGAGATCTGAAGAGATCGTATCGAGATGGATTCGACGGCTTTTTGTCGCGCTAGAGCGCTCACATACCGACCGACCATGATCAGCGTTACAAGAAGGGTGCTCGTTTCGAAAAATTCCCCAGTCGAAAGGGGCTTCTGAGAGACAAGGAGCCCGAATGACACAACGGAGAAGATGTATGCGGTACTTGTGCTTAGCACAATCAATAGGTCCATCTCAATGACTCTTGAGAAGATCAGACTCTTCAAAGCTTTTGGATAGAAGGGCCCAGCAATTGCAACTTGCACAATCGTCGCCAAGGCCAGCGATGCCGAGCCATAGGCTATTTCTCTCTTTTGAAGAGGTGCCCAGGCCATAACTAGAACGGGAATCGTCAGGATAGTTGAAAGCAAAGTGATCCATCCCATGTTGCGAATGTGCTTGTTTCCAGCCTCCAACGAAGGGTCCGCTCGAAGTGGCGCCAGCGTAACAGGCGTTCTCCAGCCCGTTTCGACCAGATCGCGGGCCCCAACGACCTTCGCGTCAAATTCTACTTGAACACTGGCCTTATCTATAACGCGAATATCCGTGACACCATTGGGCCACGGCTGATTGATGAAATCTTGGAGATCGCCAGGACAGATGATGTCGACACTGGCAGCACCTTGCGCGGTGATCTTTTCGCATTTGAACTCAGTTGTTCGTTCGAGATGTTTGATGACTTCATCCACCGAGCCGGCACCAATGTTCAAGTCGAATTCGGCTCTAGCCAATACCAAGCTAGTCTTCAAGTTTTTGACTGCGTTCACTGTGGCCAGAGTTCGCCTGAGCTTGGTTTCGCATCCAGTGCAGGTCATGCCAGAAATGCTCAGTACGACGTGTTCCTTTCCAACCAGACCCCGCTCAAGATCCTCGTTGACATCCTTCGACTCAGGCGGCAGCGGCTGGTTGATAGGTCTTGACGGCGACTTGTCGCAACAGGAGTTGGCACATGATCGAACAATGCTCCGAGACTTAGGTTTCGAGCAGCAACCATCGTTAAGTGCACTTGATTCGTTGCCAAAGGTTGAACTTCGAGTTGTCTTTTTGCCGCAACTCCTTGCCGACGGACGGAAAGCGGATTTGTTCACCACGGAAGCGCAGCAGGAGTCAGCCGAAATGCGATGAAGAGACGAGGACTTCCTTGAAGATCGCTTTCTTTCGATGGAGGAGCGCTCACGGGGAGCACAGCAAGATTCCTGACCGAGAGCCAGAAGTGCACGACAGATACAGCCCAGCGCATCGAGCTTTGACTGATAAATCTCGCGTACGCTTCGAGAGTGACCTCGGCACGCCTTGCCGTCTTGGCCACCGGTGCAATTGTTGTCACCGGAGGCTTGTGTAGGTAATATTAGCAGCTAGAAACAATAAACTCTTTGCACGGCAATTTACCTTGGTACGATTGACGAAGCTTTGAAGCCTTTCGGCTTGCGCATTCGCGCAGAGCGAGGCGATCGATGCAAGTAGAGTCGCAGCAAGGGGACGTCTTGCCCTCACAACAGCTGGGTGTCTTTTCGCCATGAACTTCAGGTGTAGGACCAGAAGAGCAACAGCCCTTTTCCCCATCATCTGAGCAGATCTTAATAGCTTTGTCACCATCAGATTCGGTCACGGAAATTGCCTTGCCCGCGATTGCTCCAATTGATGTGGTCTCAGGGCTGTTGGTTGGTCTTTTGCTCCTCGCTGAGCCACAACATCCGGCCGAGCAGTCCTTGGGTTTCGGAGCACAAAATCCCTGGCTGAACTCGGAAGTGTTGGTTGATTCCAAAATTGACTCCGAGGCGGGGTGATCTTGTTCAAATTGGCATCCAACGCTAGGAAGTTTCTTTGCGGACTCGTTGGCAGGCTCGGCGATGCTGTTAGCTTGAGTGCTGATGGCAGCGAAGTGTTCGTTGTTAGATCCGCAGCAAGCGTTTACACAATCATCAATCTTGACTTTTGGAGTGCAACAGTCATCCTCAGCATGTGCTGAGTCGATGCTGCCGTCGTTGGAAGCGGCGCAGCATTGGCGGATGGCCGTGTTTCTGGAGTCCTTGTCTTTTCCATGATCGGTCGTTTTGCATTTGTCCACCTTCGTTTCGAAAACAACATTCGAATCGTCCTCTTCAATCGCGCAGCAGGTGTCGACAACACCAGGGTCGTCGCGGTCTAATTTACCTTGGGGCGAGGCGACCGGAGACGGACCATCTCTTGCGACAGCCTGTTCCTGTGGAGGGCCGCAACAGCCGGATCCACAGACCATTGTAAATGTTTTAACGATGGATATTCGATTCTCTTATGATTTTCTTCTCTCCGATGGTGAAGCTAATGTGTGATGCGATAGGCAGATGAGATGGCTCGTCGGCGGGACTTCGCGGGAGCTTCCGTGGGAACTGCGGGTCCAGTCCCAGAGGCACGTGCTCGGAGGGGTGGATCAACCCACACCCGCTTCCGGACTGCTTAGGTAATGTCCCATCAAGGTATGAGCGCCTCATGTGGCGGTGCAGCTAAATGATTGGTACTGCGCAGTATGTATTTCTTCAGCACATATCTCCAACTCTGGGTTTGTTAATCATTCATTGCTGTATTTTACAATGCGGCTTTTTCGAAGGGGCCGAATCCAATCTGAACAAGCTAGCTAAGGTACTGGTGATCTGGTTCTCGAAACTAGAAAACGACATATTGCTTTCTCCCTTCTTCGTTTTGTTCTTCTTCTCAGACTCAGACTCAGAAGGGAGACAATAGAAGGCAGCGGGCAGTTATTTTACTAATGTTATCATTACGGACCACGATCTCGTCTTGATCAACCGGATTAAGATTACACACACATAAATGAACCGATACTTCTCCGGTTCATAGGTTCCTCGGGAGTCAGGTCACATCTGTAAGCTCAGATTGTGACCATTGACAAGCGCGTTGGCGAAGATAACCGAATAGCAGTGAGCACTTCAAGTCGACAGAGATTCCCAAAGGAAATATGTGACAATTTGATTTCCCTTAGAGCAATCCCCCTGATAGCACCCACGCAACTCACCCACCCCACATCAATGTGCCCTTACAGACTTCTGGCCCTTCTTGCTTGACTTTCCGGAGGATGACTTGTGCCTTTTAGAGCTGTACTCCAAATCAACTCTGTAAGCCGCGCCACGGCTTGCCGAAGTCAAAGATCCATAAGAGGTGTTGCCGGATGCAGATGATTTGTACGAGTTGTTGCTTCTTGAACATGAGCCTGACGCGGACGATGACACAGTTTCTGCGTTCTCATCCACAGGGGAAAATCCGTTGATCTTGGATAAGGCAGAACCTCGTCGGTGAGAGCGACTGGAAGAGCCATAGCCAAACTTGCGACTAGCGGTCCCTTGGCGGAGCTCACTGAATGTCATATCTGGGGTGGTCGTTCGTGTTGGGACTAGGTCGATCGATCAGCTTCATGGTTGGCAGGTATAAATCGGAGGATGATTAGACTCACGGTAACGTGCACACTCCGCACAGCACCCATGATCGCAAGTCTGAGACTCATTGACAGGGGCGGCGATGCCGTAACCCGGCGAGGCTTTTGGCATCGTACACCAGCCCTGGGTATTGGGACCCTGGTTACACTGGCAACATGTCCAGGTTCCACCCATCGCCTTGAACTGACAGTTGATCAAAGGGCAGTCGGCATTGCTGGGCTGAGCGGTTGCATAACTCAGATGCGAGCATGGTGTCTCTACACCTGTTTCGAGATCGATGAGGGCCGAAGGGCAGTAGTGCCAGTTGATCGAAGTATGCGAGCAAGGGTGGAGACGAGGGTGGCCGTGACACATGGTGAAGGATGACAATGTGCAAATTTGTTGATACCAGACGACACAAGATGAAGGAGTCACTGTAGTGATATAACGAACGACTTATGGCGGTAATTTTCAAAGTTGACTGAAATTCGCTAACCCAAGCAGCTCGCTGCATCTTATATACTTCATTTTTCAGGCTTTCCTGCTTGCACAAGACAAAATTTGTACAAAGTTACCGTACTTCCATGATCACTATTCCGTTCTTACTGCCGATGAACGCCTCTTTTGGTTTCTTTTCTCATAGCTACTGACACATGTTCACTTCTTACCAACCATCTCGAACACCACCCTCACTTCGCATCTCATCTGTCATCACTCCTCGCTCACCGACAGTAAGGGTCGTGGAACCCGGGGTCAAACATGGCCCCAATTGACTGTTTCTGAGATTTCAATGTCTCGGGCTGCATGGTGGATGGATTGGTTGGTGTGGGTGATGTGTGTTGCATCCATACTTGAGGGTGCGGAAACATAAGTCAGGCAGCCAATGAAACAAGCGACTTTTGCGGGCGAGAGTCTCCCAACACGCCCTGGTCAAATCTGGGTGAAGTCTCCGACGGGAACTCGCAGCTTTGTGTCACACCGGTCCACCCATTATTGCAACACGACGATCTCCACAGTCATCAATCTCTGTGTTACGCGTCTTACATCGGACCCATGGGAATAAATTCCTCCACGAGTGGTTTAAGCAGCGGATGATGAGCCCGTCCTCCCGGTGCCTGGGTTCGTAAGATCTCGCTAGGAAGCTTGACGCATGACTGACTTGTAATAGTCTAAATGGGGGGTTTCACGATAATCACGATCCTTCTTCGGGGCTGATATTAGCCCCGATACTTAGCCTCGCCAATCGGCTGCTTCAAAATCTGAGTGGTCGGGAACAAAGTGGCGTGAGTTGGGAGGGGTTGTTGGCTGGATCGAAATGCAAGAGTGCAGGATCTGGAGATAGAGCTGGGTAGCTGCTTAATGTGACCCAAGTTGGACCCCATCCGATCACGATCTCGAGATCACGTTAAACTACTCACAGATACGAAATCTGGGCAAGTATCATGCAGGAACGCGGCACAGCGAAAGGATATGGTGGGATTTCAATCAGTTGAGAAATGAGATAGATTATACAATGTGTAAGACAATCCAGCTGTCTGAGATTCCCCTGCAAGTACCCATGGCCACCGACGATGGCGATGGGTGTCACTATGAGATCTTGCTGGCTTAATTACTCGATTACTGCGACAATTTTAAAGAGGAAACAAGTTGGACCCATCCTTTCTATGTATTTCTGCAACCACCACTGATTCATGATCCCTTCCTGGGGTTGAGCTCGTCCAAAGATAGATTTTCCTGGCGTCTAGTCACCGGAGGAACTAGCGCTGAGTCTCTATCCTTCTTTTCCATCATATCCTAAGCTCCAAGAAGTTGTTTGTTTCCATAGGCCACCTGATTAATCATTTCATGATGTTCTTGGAAATGTTCAACCATCCAAGGCGGCAGTACATGTTGAGCAGCAAATATGCTCGCAGCGGTACTCATTTCCGTCAATGATCATGATGCAACTACATCTGCCTCCATCATTCCAACCCTTGCCGCACCAGCAGCAGTTCCAGCATCTGTTGCGGCTTTCATATGGGCAATTTGCTAAAGGGCACTTCGGCAAGGCTCTCTGGTCATAGCCTGGGGGAGGAGGGTACGGAATGTTTTGTTGAGTGACATCTCTGCAAGTTTTGCGCTTGGATGGATCTTTTTTCGAGGATGCCGACGCCTTGGAGCAATATTCGATTTGAGTCTGGATATGCTCGCAGGGCAACTTGAAAGCTATTGTGTGGCACATGATGTCTTTCTTCGAGATATTCGGACGTAAATGTGTCTTTAAATATGAGGATATTGCAGTTGGTAGTTAACGAAGATAGAGGGGCTGGAATCAAACAGTCAAGTGAAGATTGAAGAGCCACAGGCACGATGTGGTGCTTGATGTTCCGATGATATTTCTGGTTCCTAAAATGCTCATCGACAATTCCGGGGATTCTATCCTAAACTATATACTCAGAATCCCCGGATAGAAATCTACAGAAAAAGAAGGTTCGGCGATCTGATCCGAACTGTCGGTAAGCATGTTGAGGCGGCCACGATTTCCTTCCCTTCCCCTGTCGATCAGTAACCACTGCATCGGGTTCCAAGCGAAGACTTTGGCAGCCTG